CTGACGATGTGGACTGTCATGTCTTCCCCTTCAGGGACTTTGGGAAGGGACGCATCAAGAAGCTGAAGATCAGCCCAGACGCCTTCATTCAGTTGGCTCTGCAGCTAGCTTACTACAGGGTGAGTTAAAGGGAATGTCCTTCATACAGTTGGCTCTGCAGCTAGCTTCAGGGCCGTGCACAGACCATTGGGGATGCTGGTGCTCTTGGGGGTGGGGGAGGGGCTATTTTCTAAGATTCAAGAGCTTATGAAATTAGCTAGTTTGATGTGCAATTCGTTACATTTAAAATTAAAACACAATTTATTATGGGACTCAAAATAACATTTAAAGTATTTCATTAAATGATCAAATCCACCAGGCTACGAGGGCAAAAGGGCAGGTTGCCGGGCACTGATTGAGCTCTATCTGTGCACGTGCCTGGCTAGCTTACTACAGGGTAAGTTAAAGGGGATGTCCATCATTCAGCTGGCCCTGCAGCTAGTTTACTACAGGGTAAGCAGGACATTCCTAGAACATATACAACATTGAGAATACCCTCTACCCTATGACTTCCCCTATTCATAGATTCCAATTGACGTAACACAGCGTTGCAGCGCCTTCTTTAGGACTCTGTCGTCCATTGTGGTCCATTGCCTAAAACACACTGTATTAATCAAAGCTAAAACAATCCATCTGAAAATAATGTTGAATAAAAACATGTTTTATTGAATATTAAAACATACAATCTACTTGCAGTGAAGCCGCTCAACATTTACATTACATTCAGTAATCTAACAGACTCACATCCAAAGCGACCCACAGACGCAACCAGGGTCAACGCCCTGCTCAAGGGCACGTCGACAGATCTCCCACAAGGTCAAAAACGGGGACCCAAACCAGCGACCTATCAGCCACCGGCCCAAGCTCCCAACCGCCAGGCCACCAGCCCTCCAAGATCTCCCCCACAGTTCCCTGAGAGCTGCCCCTCGTACCATTTTACATCTAACTAAGATTTTGTGTCACGAAAGCTAGCATTATCTGTCCAACATTAGCTAACTAGCTTTAGCTAAGCTAGCTAGCTAACTAGCGTTAGCTAAGCTAGCTAGCTAGCTGAGCCAGCCAGTCATACTTCATATGAATCTAAATGGATGCTGCTAACCTAGTGCATCACACACAATGTTGAATTCTTCCAACAAAAGCTAGCTAGCTTCTGTTGCTAAGTTAGTATCTAGCTGACATTATAATGAGTTTTCACGAATCAGCTGCCTGTTGCCGCGACTCACGTGAGTCAAAGCAAAGGCATCCCATGAGCTGCTGCTGTGCACAAATGATCAAAAGCAGCAATCGTGGAGAAACATGCTGATATACAGACTGATTTCTGATCATTTAATTTAGGGGCAGCATTTCTACAACTTTCGGGTAAATGAAACAAGCTAAGCAGGCAATTTGTCAGAAGAGGTAGAGTTAGCTAGCTTAGTAGTAGCTACAGTTGAAGTCGGAAGTTTACATATACCTTAGCCAAATAGTTTTTCACAATTCCTGACATTTAATCCTAGTAAAAATTCCCTGTCTTAGGTCAGTTAGGATCACCACATTATTTTAAGAATGTGAAATGTCAGAATAATAGTAGAGAATTATTTATTTCAGCTTTTTGTTCTTTCATCACATTCCCAGTGGGTCAGAAGTTTACATACACTCAATTAATATTTGGTAGCATTGCCTTTAAATTGTTTAACTTGGGTCAAACGTTTCGGGTAGCCTTCCACAAGCTTCCCACAATAAGTTGGGTGAATTTTGGCCCATTCCTCCTGACAGAGCTGGTGTATCTGAGTCAGGTTTGTAGGCCTCCTTGCTCGCACACGCCTTTTCAGTTCTGCCCACACATTTTCTATAGGATTGACGTCAGGGCTTTGTGATGGCCACTCCAATACCTTGACTTTGTTGTTCTTAAGCCATTTTGCCACAACTTTGGAAGTATGCTTGGGGTCATTGTCCATTTGGAAGACCCATTTGCGACCAAGCTTTAACTTCCTGGCGGATGTCTTGAAATGTTGCTTCAATATATCCACATAATTTTCCTTCCTCATGATGCCATCTTTTTTGTGAAGTGCACCACTCCCTCTTGCAGCAAAGCACCCCCACAGCATGATGCTGCCACCCCCGTGCTTCACGGTTGGGATGGTGTTATTCGGCTTGCAAGTTACCCCTTTTTCCTCCAAACATAACGATTGTCATTATGGCCAAACAGTTCCATTTTTGTTTCATCAGACCAGAGGACATTTCTCCAAAAAGTACGATCTTTGTCCCCATGTGCAGTTGCAAACCATAGTCAGGCTTTTTTATGGCGGTTTTGGAGCAGTGGCTTCTTCCTTGCTGAGCGGCCTTTCAGGTTATGTCGATATAGGACTCATTTTACCGTGGATATAGATACTTTTGTACTTGTTTCCTCCAGCATCTTCACAAGGTCCTTTGCTGTTGTTCTGGGATTCATTTGCACTTTTCTCACCAAAGTACGTTCATCTCTAGGAGACAGAACGCATCTACTTCCTGAGCGGTATGACGGCTGCGTGGTCCCATGGTGTTTATACTTGCGTACTATTGTTTGTACAGATGAACATGGTACCTTCAGGCGTTTGGAAATTGCTCCCAAGGATGAACCAGACTTGTGGAGGTCTACAATAATTTTTTTCTGAGGTCTTGGCTGATTTCTTTTGATTTTCCCATGATGTCAAGCAAAGAGGCACTGAGTTTGAAGGTAGGCCTTGAAATACATCCACAGGTACACCTCCAATTGACTCAAATTATGTAAATTAGCCTATCAGAAGCTTCTAAAGCCATGACATCACTTGTAACGGCTGTGCTGGCTGTTGCCTCCGCCAATAAGGTCGGAACGGCTGTGCTGGCTGTTGCCTCCGCTTCCCTGAGTGGGGACGGAGGGACATAACAACTATGACTGCCCTGAGTTCAGTCCTACGGGACTTTGCTCTCTGTCTGGCCCTTACCTAGTTCACCGATTAATCTGCTATTGTGATACCATATTGGAGTGATTCAATATAGTGCTACATAACGAAGGTTACGTATGTAACCACGGTTATGTAAGCTATTGGATCACTCCAATCCTCTTTGTCGGTGATCTACGGCGCCTCGAAAAGGACACGAGGTGGAAGTAGTGTGGCGGCAGCTATTTAAGTGGGTCAGCCGCAGCACTACCCTGTACGTGGTCCTCTGTAGCTCAGCTGGTAGAGCACGGCGCTTGTAATGCCTAGGTAGTGGGTTCGATCCCCGGGACCACCCATACACAAAAATGTATGCACGCATGACTGTAAGTCGCTTTGGATAAAAGCGTCTGCTAAATGGCTTATTATTATTATCTTCACAAGGTCCTTTGCTGTTCTTCTGGGATTGATTTACACTTTTCGCACCAAAGTACGTTCATCTCTAGGAGACATAACGCATCTCCTTCCTGAGCGGTATGACGGCTGCGTGGTCCCATGGTGTTTATACTTGCGTACTATTGTTTGTACAGATGAACGTGGTACCTTCAGGCGTTTGGAAATTGCTCCCAAGGATGAACCAGACTTGTTGAGGTCTTGGCTGATTTCTTTTGATTTTCCCATGATATCAAGCAAAGAGGCACTGAGTTTGAAGGTAGGCCTTGAAATACATCCACAGGTACACCTCCAATTGACTCAAATGATGTAAATTAGCCTATCAGAAGCTTCTAAAGCCATGAAATCATTTTCTGGAATTTTCCAAGCTGTTTAAAGGCACAGTCAACTTAGTGTATGTAAACTTCTGACCCACTGGAATTGTGATACAGTGAATTATAAGTGAAATAATCTGTCTGTAAACAATTGTTGTAAAAATTACTTGTGTCATGCACAAAGTAGATGGCCTAACCGACTTGACAAAACTATAGTTTGTTAACAAGACATTTGTGGAGTGGTTGAAAAACGAGTTTTAATGACTCCAACCTAAGTGTATATAAACTTCCGACTTCAACTGTATGTCAGTAATGTCTCATCTACAGTTTTTAAGTGCTGTGAAAAGCTCGCTAGGAGCGAGATATGGATCACAACCGAGTATTTCAATCTTGTCAAGATTTCTTGTTTTTCCAGGTGCAGTTAGATGGGCGATCTTGGCGTCTTTGTGACCACACTAGTTGCGCCAGAATGTGTGGTCCTAAAGATGGTGGACACAACAAAATTGAACAAAATGGAACTCAAAGTGAAGTCGCTGGTCCCTATGAATATTATCTAATCTAATACACTTTTGGATTCCCCTGGCAAATGTTCAACTCTTTGAAAGACACATTCAGAATGCAGATGTGGATATTACCCAAGAATAATGTTTTCCTCCATCACACATACTGTCTCTCAAGCACATAAAAAAATACCCAAGAATAATGTTTTCCTCCATCACACATACTGTCTCTCAAGCACATAAAAAAATACCTGTAGCTGATTTATTTGGTTGGTTTACTTTCTTATTTATCAATTTTAATTTAATCTCTGGATTTCATGCATGCTTTAGTCTTGGGTAAGTAGCTACATTTGCCTTCTGAATCCTTCTCTGCCAGCTCCCTACTAAAATCACTTAAGGTATCTTCCCCAGTTTTCCTATCCCCTCTCACTATTCAAACATGATGTCAAACTGTTAGGAATTTTTGGAAAGACCAGGGACTAGTTGAAGTCATGCCACTGATGTCAGTGACCTCTAGTAAAAGTCTCTTTCATTCCTTCTGACAAGGAAACGATAATTCCTCGTGTTTGTTTAAGAGGTTGCTAACATTACTAGACTGAATACAATGTGTTATAATACAAGAACGCTTTAGTTACCTTGCAACTAGGAATGGAATTGGTGTAGTCTACCATTGAAATTGGCTATTGCTGTATAATAAAAACGGTCATATAGTGCAGTATGCTGAGCTGTACAAGGTTTGTAATTACCGTCCATGAGCAGTGAGAAGAATACTGATAATTTCAGCTAATTATACTGATAATGTTCCCTTTGTCTCCCAGGATCGTAAGACGTTCTGCCTCACCTACGAGGCCTCCATGACACGGCTGTTCCGAGAGGGGAGGACTGAGACTGTACGATCCTGCTCCAATGAGGGCTGTGCCTTTGTCAAAGCTGTGGAGAGCGGAGAGGTAGGCTTAATGACTGGGGTTGTTTTTAACGGTGCTCGTAAGTTCTTCTAGAACCTTCCTAGTGGCTCAGTGAAAATAGGTTTTGCAGGCTTTTCTGTGTTATCGATGCTGAGTCGCGTTCACTTCGGAATGAATGTGTTCACACTTGATAGTGAAACAGATTTCACTCCATTATGAATAAGGTAATTTAGGAAGAAATGGGTTTCAGTCAAAGTGATTTGCATTCATTCTTCAGACACGGATTACTTTTACGGCTGCAAGATTAATTGAAATTGTGATATTGACATGTGCAATATCCATATGTCAAGAGGCTGCAATATTAGCCTTTCTTTGACACTCCGTTAAAGTGGGCTCAGCAATATGACGTTGCCACGAGCAGCACTGCAGATATTGACATGAGTGCGATGCAAGACTTTTCTCTCACACAGTCACACAGAGTATTTGCGTGTGGGTGTGCTTCACGCCAGTGTTTCTCTGCAGTCATTTAACTGTGGTGCTGCGCCAGTGCAAAATCATTTCAGCCATTTCCCAATTGGCAGGTTACCCCATGTTACCCTAACAGGTAGGCCTACATTATATTCCCTGTGTGTTTACACGTTTGTTGGGACGTACATTTAATCAGTAGGATGCTAATTAGTCTAAAGATTACATTTGGGATCTAGCTAATGATAATGTCCAGTTAGCACAGCATGTATTAAGTCCTATTAGCTCATTTTAGAAGTGCTGTTCTCTAACTTGACACTTGTCTCATGGAACTATCAAGTTTTCATCCAAGTGTTTGAAAATCACAAGTCATAATCTCAATTGCAATATCTAGCTCCAGGTTTATGGGATATTTGTTCATACCTGATGGATAACTGCACTTAACTCCATTATCTACACTTCACAGAGTTAAACTACTATAAATCCTTAATCTGAATATTCTCAACTAAAGAGAGAAAATACTCTCCAACAGTAATTAACATAAATCCATTAAAATACTGAGGATCAACTCTATAATAATCTGCTAGCCTAGCGGAACCAGTTTCACTCCATAAATACTTACATTATCCTCTTACGGGGGTTTCACTCTCATATTACATTTTCATTTTATTTATTTGAGTAACCTCTTTCGCCCCACTACTATCATCAACTGTAATCATAATTCATCCTATCTCGCTTCTAACAGACAGGTTATCTTATTACAGGGGCCGGAGCACTGCAGGCGGCTGTTCCGATTGGCTGCCGAGAAGCACCAGAACCTCTACCGATTGGCCATGACAGGGTCCGGCATTGACAGGCACCTCTTCTGCCTGTACGTGGTGTCTAAATACCTGGGGGTGGAGTCACCGTTCCTAACAGAGGTAGGTACAAACATGGATAACATGCTAGCAAGAACAGTATCCCCCTTCCCAGCACACCCCCATTTTCTGTACACAAATATGCGCACAAAGATGCAATTCGTTAACTTAAGTTGCGGTGCTTGGGTACATTTACTGTTGAAGAAAAATACCCTTTATTATAAAGCCATAATTGCAGTTTTTAGAATTTCCACACATGTTTTTAGCAGGTATGGTAGAAAAATTACAAGATTATGTTTAATACTATTTATGCATCGAATGGTTGTTTTATGCAATGGAATAGGGTTCTTAGAACTCTCTCATCTGTGTCTGTGAACTCAGTTGAGCTTGGGCTGGCAATTTATTTATGATGGGCTTGGTGATAAAACCAACAGCCATTCCATTCTATGATTAGTGGTGCATGTGAGGGGGAGATGTATCCGGTCTGACTGAGCCTGCATTCCATAGAATAAATATAAAATATAAATATAATATGCCATTTAGCAGACGCTTTTATCCAAAGCGACTTACAGTCATGCGTGCATACATTTTTTTTTTTGTGAATGGGTGGTCCAGGGGATCGAACCCACTACTTTGGCGTTACAAGCGCCGTGCTCTACCAACTGAGCTACAGAGGACCACATGAGTTGGTGTTTGTGTACTATAGGGTACCAGGGAGGAGATGGCTCGGGTATGGATAATGATGACAGGAACCTTGTCTTGGGGGCCAAACCCTGGTTTCCATACAATGAGAACAATCTTCGTGGCAAATACTATCTGGCTGGGAGATGCTCTTTTTCTCATATACCAAGCCTCACCTTTTGACCCATTCCACACATCTGCTGTTTGTCATGTAGACTAAGAGGGTGTATCTTTGCTATGAAAGATCTTTGTATTCTCTGTATGTCGGCGCTCTCAGCCCAACACTCGAGTGTTGGGTCGACCAGACTTATTATTGCAGAGCACTCACTCTATTCACTTGTGTGTGTGGTGTGACCTGCTCCCAAATTAATACATTTTGAATAAAGTAATATCCTAATTGACCTTCTCTCCTCATTATTGATTAGAATTTCCACGACACAGGGTCCCCAAACAATTGGCCTATGATAAACGCATTTCATGCAATTCTACATAATTTACATGACAGAAGACATTATTAGCAGAATATTTTTTAATACCACATAAATGACCAAAATTACTGGCTACTCTGACACTGAAAAACTGAGATCAATAAAAACGATCTGGTCTTGAATGCAAACAATAGCCCAGGCCAAGCCAATGAAAAGACACACAGATTGTACAATATTAGTGTATATCTACATTTACATCATTTAGCAGACGCTCTTATCCAGAGCGACTTAGTTAGTGAGTGCATACATTATTTTTTATATATTTTAAAAAAGTTTTTATTTTTTGTATTTTTATTTATTTATTTATTTTTTATTTCATACTGGCCCCCCGTGGGAAATGAACCCACAACCCTGGCGTTGCAAACGCCATGCTCTACCAACGGAGCTACATCCCTGCCAGCCATTCCCTCCCCTACCCTGGACGACGCTGGGCCAATTGTGCGCCGCCCCATGGGTCTCCCGGTCGCGGCCGGCTACGACAGAGCCTGGATTCGAACCAGGATCTCTAGTGGCACAGCTAGCACTGCGATGCAGTGCCTTAGACCACTGCGCCACTGAACACTGCGCCACTGCCTTAGTACCAGTCAAAAGTTTGGACACCTACTCATTCAAGGGTTTTTCTTAATTTTTACTATTTTCTACATTGTATAATAATAGTGAAGACATCAAAAATATGGAATAACATATATGGAATCATTTTTAACCAAAAAAGTGTTAAACAAATAAAAATATATTTTAGATTCTTCGAAGTAGCCACCCTTTGTCTTGATGACAGCTTTGCACACTCTTTGCATTCTCTCAACCAGCATCATGAGGAATGCTTTTCCAACAGTCTTGAAGGAGTTCCCACATATGCTGAGCACTTGTTGGCTGCTTTTCCTTCACTCTGCGGTGTAACTCATCCCAAACCATATCAATTGGGTTGAGGTCGGGTGATTGTGGAGGCCAGGTCATCTGATGCAGCACTCCATCACTCTCCTTGGTCAAATAGCCCTTACACAGCCTGGAGGTGTGTTTTGGGTCATTGTCCTGTTGAAAAACTAATTATAGTCCCACTAAGCGAAACCAGATGGGATGGCGTATCGCTGAAGAATGCTGTGGTAGCCATGCTGGTTAAGTGTGGCTTGAATTCTAAATAAATCACCAACAGTGTCACCAGCAAAGCACCCCCACACCATCACACCATCTCCTCCATGCTTCACAGTGGGAACCAGAGATCTGTTCACCTACTCTGCGTCTCACAAAGACACTGCGGTTGGAACCAAAAATCTCAAATTTGGACTCATTGGACCAAAGGACAGATTTCCACCGGTCCAATGTCCATTGCTCGTGTTCCTTTAGTAGTGGTTTCTTTGCAGCAATTCGACAATGAAGGCCTGATTTACACAGTCTCCTCTGAACAATTGATATTAACAGATGTGCCTTCTTAAAAGTGAATTTGTGGAATTTCTTTCCTTAATGCGTTTGAGCCTATCAGTTGTGTTGTGACAAGGTAAGGGGGGTATACAGAATAGCACTATTGGGTAAAAGACCAAGTCCATATTATGGCAAGAACAGCTCAAATAAGGAAAGAGAAACGACAGTCCATCATTACTTTAACATTTTTACATTTTAGTCATTTAGCAGACGCTCTTATCCAGAGCGACTTACAGTTAGTGAGTGCATACATTATATTTTTTAATTTTTCATACTATTTTTCATACCCCGGTGGGAATCGAACCCACAACCCTGGCGTTGCAAACGCCATGCTCTACCAACTGAGCTACATCCCTGCCGGCCATTCCCTCCCCTACCCTAGACGCTGGGCCAATTGTGCGCCGCCCCATGGGTCTCCCGGTCACGGCCGGCTACGACAGAGCCTGGATTCGAACCAGGATCTCTAGTGGCACAGCTAGCACTGCGATGCAGTGCCTTAGACCACTGCGCCACTCGGGAGATGTAAGACATGAAGGTCAGTCAATAAGGAACATTTCAAGAACTTTGAAAGTTTCTTCAAGTTCTGTCGCAAAACCCATCAAGCTCTATGATGAAACTGGCTCTCATGAGGACCGCCACAGGAATGGAAGACCCAGAGTGACCGTTGATGCAGAGGATAACTTCATTAGAGTTACCAGCCTCAGAAATTGCAGGCCAAATAAATGCTTCACAGAGTTCAAGTAACAGACATCTCAACATCAACTGTTCAGAGGAGACTGTGTGAATCAGGCCTTCAATAAGGACACCAATAAGAAGAAGAGACTTGCTTGGGCCAAGAAACACGAGCAATGGACATTAGACCGGTGGAAATGTGTCCTTCGATCTGGAGTCCAAATTTGAGATTTTTGGTTCCAACCGCCGTGTCTTTGTGAGATGCGGTGTGGGTGAACGGATGATCTCTGCATGTGTATTTTCCACTGTAAAGCATGGAGGAGTTATGGTGTAGGGGTGCTTTGCTGGAGACACTGTCTGTGATTTATTTAGAATTCAAGGCACACTTAACTAGCATGGCTACCACAGCATTCTGCAGCGATACGCCATCCCTGGTTTGGGCTTAGTGGGACTATCATTTGTTTTTCAACAGGACAATGACCCAAAACACACCTCCAGGCTGTGTAAGGGCTATTTTACCAAGAAGGAGAGTGATGGAGTGCTGCATCCGATGACCTGGCCTCCACAATCCCCCGACCTCCACCAAATTAAGATGGTTTGGGATGAGTCGGACCGCAGAGTGAAGGAAAAGCAGCCAACAAGTGCTCAGCATATGTAGGAACTCCTTCAAGACTGTTGGAAAAGCATTCCAGGTGAAGCTGGTTGAGAGAATGCCAAGAGTGTGCAAAGCTGTCATCAAGGCAAAGGGTGGCTATTTGAAGAATCTCAAATATAACATATCTTTTTTGTTTTAACTTTTTTGGTTACTACAGGATTCCATATGTGTTATTCATAATTTTGATGTCTTCACTATTATTCTACAATGTAGAAAAAAATAAAGAAAAACCCTTATATATACTGCTCAAAAAAATTAAGGGAACACAAAATGAATGAAATAATCTTATTAAATACTTTTTTCTTTACATAGTTGAATGTGCTGACAACAAAATCACACAAATTATCAATGGAAATCAAATGTATCAACCCATGGAGGTCTGGATTTGGAGTCACCCTCAAAATTTAAGTGGAAAACCACACTACAGGCTGATCCAACTTTGATTTACTGTCCTTAAAACAAGTCAAAATGAGGCTCAGTAGTGTGTGTGGCCTCCACGTGCCTGTATGACCTCCCTACAACGCCTGGGCATGCTCTTGATGAGGTGGCGGATGGTCTCCTGAGGGATCTCCTCCCAGACCTGGACTAAAGCATGGAGCGAGACATGATGTACCAGATGTGCTCAATTGGATTCAGGTCTGGGGAACGGGCGGGCCAGTCCATAGCATCAATGCCTTCCTCTTGCAGGAACTGCTGACACACTCCAGCCACATGAGGTCTAGCATTGTCTTGCATTAGGAGGAACCCAGGGCCAACCGCACCAGCATATGGTCTCACAAGGGGTTTGAGGATCTCATCTCGGTACCTAATGGCAGTCAGGCTACCTCTGGCGAGCACATGGAGGGCTGTGCGGCCCCCCAAATAAATGCCACCCCACATCATGACTGACCCACCGCCAAACCGGTCATGCTGGAGGATGTTGCAGGCAGCAGAACGTTCTCCACGGCGTCTCCAGACTCTGTCACGTGCTCAGTGTGAACCTGCTTTCATCAGTGGTGAATTTGCCAATCTTGGTGTTCTCTGGCAAATGCCAAAAATCCTGCACGGTGTTGGGCTGGATGCACAACCCCCACCTGTGGACGTCGGGCCCTCCATACCACCCTCATGGAGTCTGTTTCTGACCGTTTGAGCAGACACGTGCACATTTGTGGCCTGCTGGAGGTCATTTTGCAGGGCTCTGGCAGTGCTCCTCCTTGCACAAAGGCGGAGGTAGCAGTCCTGCTGCTGGGTTGTTGCCATCCTACGGCCTCCTCCACGTCTCCTGATGTACTGGCCTGTCTCCTGGTAGCGCCTCCATGCTCTGGACACTACGCTGACAGACACAGCAAACCTTCTTGCCACAGCTCGCATTGATGTGCCATCCTGGATGAGCTGCATTACCTGAGCCACTTGTGTGTGTTGTAGACTCCGTCTCATGCTACCACTAGAGTTAAAGCACCGCCAGCATTCAAAAGTGACCAAAACATCAGCCAGGAAGCATAGGAACTGAGAAGTGGTCTGTGGTCACCACCTGCAAAACCAGTCCTTTATTGGGGGTGTCTTGCTAATTGCCTATAATTTCCACCTGTTGTCTATTCCATTTGCACAACAGCATGTGAATTTGTATTGTCAATCAGTGTAGCTTCCTAAGTGGACAGTTTGATTTCACAGAAGTCTGATTGACTTGGAGTTACATTGTGTTGTTTAAGTGTTCCCTTTATTTTTTTTGAACAGTGTATATCAGTAATACTAGAGGTGTAGTGTTGAGTTGTCAAACTGATCCTTCTGCGTGTCTGTCCATCTAGGTGTTGTCGGAGCCCTGGCGTCTCTCCACCAGTCAGACTCCGGTTCAGCAGTTGGAGCTGTTTGACATGAAGAACCACCCAGACTTTATATCCCTGGGGGGAGGCTTCGGCCCTGTGAGTAAACACACACCTCGACTCAGGCGCACACACACACACACACACCTCTACCCAGACTTCAACTACCTGGGGGAGGCTTTGGGCCTGTGAGTACACACGTCATTTTGCTACTTTTCCCACTTCTTACTGTTCCAGGTGGCAGACGATGGCTACGGAGTGTCGTACATTATCGTAGGAGAGGACATGATCAACTACCATGTATCCTGCAAGCACTCCTTCTCTGAGACGGTTAGTGTGTGTTATACACTCGCTTGTATTGGTGACAGATGTTATCGTGCATACAGCAAATGGAAACGTTGACAAGCGGTACATTTTGTCTCTTTAAGCGGACACAAATCATGTATGGCCAGCTGAACATTATGAATGTGCCCTTTATAAAGACCCACCCCCCTCTCTCATCTCCTTTTCTCTATCTACTGTATCTATCTCCCTTCCTTCTATCTGTACAAGTTTTTAACCCCCCCAAATAATCAAGTAAAATCAATATCTGTCTCTCTCTCTTCCTCTCTCTCAATCTTTTTAACTCTCCAGAAATAAACCAAGTCAAATCATTGTATCGCCTCTTTCTCTCTCTCAGGACTCACACCGGTTCGGGGCCCAGATCAGTCGGGCTCTACTGGACCTCCTCTCTGTGCTTACCCCAGCTAAGACTGAGAACCCACAGGCCCCGGACAAGAAACAGCAGTGAACACTTACAGGGAAAGAAGGGACCATGGGGTGGGATGGCGGTAGGGAGTCGCTTTGTTTTTGATAGTGGGAGAATATTATATTGAGCGTGGTTGTGTATAAAGAAAGCCCTAAGAGATTCGGTGTGATGGAATGATGAATTCTGAAAATGAAAGATGTTCCCTTCTGCTCAAAAATGGAGCGGTGGATAGAGAGAGGTGAAGAGATTGAGAAGTGCAATAGGAAGCAAGGGAACTAACAAGGATGAGGCAGAGAGCAAGGGAAGGAGGGATGAGAAAGTGGGGGATAAATCTCCACAAAAAGAAAAGAGAATGAGTAGAGGTTTCACCCATAGAGAGAACATGGGTCAGAGGTCAGACATGGGTCAGAGATAGGCAATAACTTTTTTCTTGTTTTTCTTTCTTTGTGAATACTCACCATAATGGCATTATTTTCTATAGTATCATCTTGAATGTGAACTACTGTCGGAAAGAGTCATGTTTATTCGTGTAATGTTTTATTGAAAAGTCCTTCAGTTGGCCTCAAAGACTTCCCTAGTAAAAAGCTATAGGAGAAGCAGTGGAAGTTGAAAGAAGCGGGACTGACTTTTAATGTAGGTTTAACTCTATTCTCAAGTGACTGGAGAACACTAACTGAATGGGTCGGCTGCAGTGAACATCATTAGGATGTGATATCAGGAGCATGGTTGGGGTCAATTCCATTTTAATTCAATCAATTCAGGGAATAAATTCAAATTCTGTGATTTTAAAAACAATTGCATTTTTCTATGATTTCTCAATACATATGAGAAGGAGAAGCTCTTATTAAAACGTTCTGTTTTTATATTTTAATTAAAAATCACTTTATTGAAGTGTAATTGATCCCAACCCTGTACAGGATATCTGCTTAATTATTTGGCTTGGGATCATCTCCAGGGCTCGTATTCATAAAGCATTTCAGATTAGGAGTCCTGATCTAGAGACAGTTTTGCTTTTTAGATAATAATTAATAAGAGTATATGGACAGGGGTGGACCTGTTCCTGGATCAGCACAACTACTCAGATGCTTTTTGAATACGGGCACAGTTCATTTGAGTTTTTAAACATCCTCACCGGTAGAAATCCACTGTTTCGAACTGAAAGACGATGAGCCTACGCCTATGATGTTTCACTATTTAAGCAAACACATCATCGTTTTAGTCAAAGCATGCTACAGTGCATTTTTTTCCACATTTTGTTATGTTACAGCCTTATTCTAAAATTGATTACATTTATTTTTTTGCTTCTTAATCTACGCACATTACTCCATAGTGACAAAGCAAAAACAGGTTTTCAGAAATATTTGCCAAAAAAACCGTTAATGTTACATTTACATAAGTATTCAGACCCTTTACTCAGTACTTTGTTGAAGCACCTTTGGCAGCAATTACGGCCTCGAGTCTTCTCGAGTAAGACGCTACAAGCTTTGCACACCTGTATTAGGGGATTTTCTCCCATTCTTTTCTGTAGATCCTCTCTAGCTCTGTCAGGTTGGATGGGGCGCGTCGCTGCACAGCTATTTTCAGGTCTTTCCAGAGATGTTCGATCGGGTTCAAGTCTGGGCTCGGCTGGGAAACTCAAGGACATTCAGAGACTTGTCCCGAAGCCACTCATGCATTGTCTTGGCTGTGTGCTTAGGGTTGTTGTCCTGTTGGAAGGTGAACCTTCGGCCCAGTCTGAGGTCCTGAGCACTCTGGAGCAGGTTTTCATCAAGGATCTCTCTGTACTTTGCTCCATTCGTCTTTCCCTCGATCCTGACTAGTCTCCCAGTCCCTGCCGCTGAAAAACATCCCCACAGCATGATGCTGCCAGCACCATGCTTCACCGTAAGGATGGTGCCAGGTTTCCTAAAGACGTGATGCTTGGCATTCAGGCCAAAGAGTTCAATCTTGGTTTCATCAGGCCAAATAATCTTGTTTCTCATGGTCTGAGAGTCCTTTAGGTGCCTTTTGGCAAACTCCACGCGGGATGTCATGTGCCTTTTACTGAGGAGTGGCTTCCGTCTGGACACTGCCATAAAGGCCTGATTGGTGGAGTGCTGCAGAGATGGTTGTCTTTCTGGAAGGTTCTCCCATCACCACAGAGGAACTCTGCAAGTCTATCAGAGTGACCATCGGGTTCTTGGTCACCTCCCTGACCAAGGCCCTTCTCCCCCGATTGCTCAGTTTGGCTGAGCGGCCAGCTCTAGGAAGAGGCTTGGTGGTTCCAAACTTGTTACATTTAAGAATGATGGAGGCCACTGTGTTCTTTGGAACCTTTAATGCTGCAGAAATTTTTTGGTACCCTTCCCCAGATCTGTGCCTCGACACAATCCTGTCTCGGAGCTCTACGGACAATTCCTTCGACCTCATTGCTAGGTTTTTTCTCTGACATGCACTGTCAACTGTGGGACCTTATATAGACAGGTGTATGCTTTTCCAAATCATGTCCAATCAGTTGAATTTACCACAGGTGGACTCCAATCAAGTTGTAGAAACATCTCAAGGATGATCAATGGAAACAGGATGCACTTGAGCTCAATTTCGAGTCTCATAGCAAAGGGTCTGAATACTTATGTAATTTAGGTATTTCAGTTGTAAAAAAAAATCTATTGCGTGTAGATTGATGAGGAAAATGTTTTATTTAATCACTTTTTTGAATAAGGCTGTAATGTAACAAAATGTGGAGAAGTGGTCTGAATACTTTCCGACTGCACTGTATATTTGGGCTTGATGTGACAAATCTGAACTGCCCACTTCATGCAAATCCATTTTCAGCTTACATTTAGTTTCAGGGCTGTATTTTATTGGAATGTCATCACCCACCATCATGGCATTGTTTATTAATCAGAAACCGCTGCAAAGTTATTCCTCATTGAGATTGTCCACTTGGCCACCTAAGTCATGAAGCAAATTAAAATGGGGGGGTGCAACTAAAGGCATCAGCTAAAGAAAATTCAAGGAACTTATAGTCACATGTAATTTGCGGCGTTCATGAGCGAAGTCATTGTATAATTTCACTTCCCCTGTGAGAACCATGAGCATGGGCTGATTTGGCTTTGATGTACCCCAGCCAATCCTGCCAGCAGTCTACCTACTGTACCAAAGGTTGCACTGTGTCCATTACAATGTCGAAAAATGCATAACAGCTATCTTTCAATAGTCATCCATATTACCGGAGCTTCATCTTATTATTTCTAACTGTTTTTATGGCAGATTCGTGGCCACAATTTGTGGAAGATGCCATAACTTTGGAGATAATGATAGGTGGCGACGTCAAAGACAGGCCCGTGGTTTCCTTCTGTGGTGAAGTTTTCCCTAAATCAATGCTTATGACAAATCCAGCTCCAGAACCAGCCATAGAGCTACAGTAGCTAATCTTTTGAATACGGTGGTAACAGATAACATTTAGCTAGCTAGATAAGGTTAGCTAGCTAGCTAGATAAGGTTAGCTAGCTAGCTAGATAAGGTTAGCTAGCTAGCTAGATAAGGTTAGCTAGCTAGCTAGATAAGGTTAGCTAGCTAGCTAGATAAGGTTAGCTAGCTAGCTAGATAAGGTTAGCTAGCTAGCTAGATAAGGTTAGCTAGCTAGCTAGATAAGGTTAGCTAGCTAGCTAGATAAGGTTAGCTAGCTAGCTAGATAAGGTTAGCTAGCTAGCTAGCTTGATAATGCTAGCTAACTACACTGACAGCTGTCAGTGCCCTACTTGTTGATGATTAAGTCGAAATAGTGGCAGCAACTTCCTCTGGGGGGGGGGGGGGGGGGCCTTTAAGTTCCCCAGAATGGGATCATCTATAGCAGAGAGGAAGAGGCGAAGTGAGAGGTTTCACTCTCGCCAAATACTTTCCAAAATAAGCCAATGCGTTTCTATAGGCTTATTTTGAATCTAAGCTTGTCGCCTGCCTTCCCGCCTTCGGGACAACGACTCTCATTGTTAGGGCGGAGACATGAGCGTCTCGTCATTATATACCGGGCTCCCGAGTGGCTCAGCGGTCTAAGGCACTGCATCTCAAGGCTTGAGGCGTCACTACAGACCCCCTGGTTTGATTCCAGGCTGTATCACAACCGGCCGTGATTTGGGAGTCCCATAGGGCGGTGCCCAGCGTCGTCCGGGTTTGGCCGGTGTAGGCCGTCATTGTAAATAAGAATTTGTTCTTAACTGACTTGCCTAGTTAAATAAAGGTTAAATAAAAATAAAATATAGATCTTTGTCTATAGGTTGCCGACCCAGCAGCACTAGTTTAATGTATATGTTAGTGTTTCCCAATCCTGGTTTTTTTCTTGCCCTAGCACTACCACACCTGATTCAACGAATCACTTGATGATGAGTTGATTAGTTGAATCAAGTATGTCAGTGCTAGGGCAAAGAAACTAAATGTTTCCCAATCCCCAGGACCAGGATTGGGAAACACTGGTGATGCTCAGAACCTAGGTGGATGGAACCTAATCCATGTTTACGTTTTTTGTTTATTGTATGTATAGTAAGTAATAATAATATGCCATTTAGCAGATGCTTTTATCCAAAGCTACTTATAGTCATGCGCGCATACATTTCTTTTTGTGTGTATGGGTGGTCCCGGGGATCGAACCCACTACCTTGGCATTACAAGCGCCGTGCTCTACCAGCTGAGCTACAGAGGACCACAATGCTCATATTAATGTCAGTCATTTTGCATATTAAGAATTATTTAAATGTAAACGTGACTGTGAAAATGAATTGAATGAATTAAATACTTTTCATGGCCTAGTACGTACTGTTTGTGAATGACTACTACTAACAACTACTGTAGAAACATGACAAAGTTGGCTGCTGTCTTGGCTGCTGATAAAGAAAATCCAGGAATTATAGGTTGGGAGGCCATTTCAGCTCCGTCAATTCTGGAGAAGGGCTGAGTTTCAAGTCTTGGATTGGAGCAATGCCCTATCAGGGCTATTCAATGTTGGTCCTGGAGGGCCAAATCACTTCTGGTTTTCATCTTCTCCTTCTAATCAGGGACTGATTCAA